TTAACTTTCCTTGAATTGAATTATAGATTCAAGGATTGTGATTTATGATAGGAAAGATTTCATGATGTTTAGGAGTGTTTTTAGATAGTTAAACATAAGGAAAAAAATCAAGAAATCACTATCTGGAAGCAAGTCCGCGACGCGGAGAAACTTTTGTCAATTCTGAGGAACAGGTCCACGACGCGGACCTGGTACCCAGTTTTGCCCGACTTGTTCCTTCTTCATTTTCTAGCCCCAATTCACCTAAATTCGATTTTTTTTCTCAATTCCTTTTTAGATTCAGATACCAGTACATGTACATAAGAATCTAACTCAAAACAACTCTAACAATCGACCTTAAACTCTCAAGAACTCCTCAATCTCATCCCAAATTCAAGAACAAAAGCAATTCAAGAATACAACTCAAGAACATCAAAGTCTCAATCTTTTAGGACGAAAATCATAGTGAAACAAACATGTTTGGCGCGTGGGTGAACGAACCCAACGCTATGTGAACTCACATACCTCGTAGGATTGAATCCTTGGCGAAACCCGCACTCAATTCCTTAAGAAATCGACGAATTCTTGCTTCTTCTCCTCTTCTTTTCTCTTCTCTCAAAACCCTAATTCTTTTTTATGAAGCTTAAACTGAACCAAATTAGTTTAGACCCCAACTTAATTACCAAAACGAAATTAATTAATAGTGTAGTGAAAAGACCAAAGTACCCTTCTAAAATCCGGATTAGACTTTCCTTATTTGAACAACCTAACTTCAAATGGGGATATCTCACTCATACGAACTCGGAATCACGCAAACTAGGTGACGTTGGAAAGATAATTCCAAGATCTTTTCTACGGTATCTGAAAGCACACCTAAATCATCCTGAGTTAGGAGTTATGGTCATTTTAAGTTGACCAAAAACCCAAACTTAACATAACAAATTTCCAGATTTTTCATTCTTTCCAAAAACAACTCTTTCTAATTCTAGCTCTTTCTAGTTCTTTCAAAAAGCGAGATGTTACAATCTAAGGATTGACTCTAACAACACCTATCAAAATTCTCCCTAATTGTAGATGCATCTTCCAACATTTCAATGGTTCTACCTAGGCTATGAAATTAATTTACTACTCATGAAAACTACCTAGGCTATCGTTCACTCTAGCCATCTCTTTGACCCCATCACATGAGGAGTTGAGGGAATGCCTTGGTACTGTTGATGTTTTTCCAATGAATAAATAGTGGGTCTTAGTTATATCAATACAATATATGATATTGATTTAGTATCAGTTAAGTAAAATTATCATCATTAATGATATCAATACAATAAATGATATTGATTTAGTATCAGTTAAGCGAATTTAGTTGGGGGTATATAGTGTAATTATTTAGTGGATATGGATATACAAGGGTATATGTTTGCAATTATTTTGCTTTTATGGGTATCTGCTTAGTTTCCCTTAAAATAAACTAAGGGCGGGGGACGCAAGGGGTTCATCGAACTCTACCTGACTAGAATTGTATATATGTAATATCAAAATTATTTTTATGATATACAATAAATTTTATTTTTTCTTTATATATTTACTTGTTTATATTTTGAAAAATTAATCCTTTTAATAAAAATCTTGCCTTCCTCATTTATATAAACTATCTAATATTTTTTTTAATAAACAACTTATAATAGATTCTCACACAATTGGAATCTCTCATTGCTCATCCTTCAACAACCGTCTTTACAACTTTACTGGAAAAAGAGATACAGAGCCCTTGTTAGACTCCAACTATACAAAGAATTTGAAAAAATAGTGTTCTTCAAATGACCAAAATACCCTTGTGGAGATGGACCCTGGAAGTGTCAGGACATTTGATAATTCTTATTCTGCTTTACTTGATGATAGTGAAACCAAAGATTATCTCAAAAAATAAGGAATTAATCAATATGGATCCACTTTTTAAAAAGATTTTAGGGCATGTTTGGAATGACATCCTGGTAATTGGATTTGATGTAATTGGGTGTAATTACACTGTCTATCTTGTTTGGTTGGACAGGTAATTACTTGGTCAACAAGTAATTGATGTAATTGGTAGGGGGTAATTACACTCTACAATTCACAGGCAGAGGCTGTGAATTGCTGGTACATGGTGTAATTACCAGTTGATTACTTTTTAATTATTTTTTAAAATTCTATTTTTATTTTTTAATTATTTTTACTTCTATTATTTTAAGTTCTATTTTTATTTTTATTATTATAAAATTTTCTAAAAGTTTATTTTATATTTTATATTTTATATTATTATATTTCATTTTCTTCTCGTTCTCAACCTTACTTCACGTGATTTTATGTAATTTTTTCATATTATCTATTTCTTTATGTCATGCTTATTTTCTCATTAGCATAATTTTATCAGCATTCTAAATTTTAAATTAAAATTGAATTTATTGTTAACTGGGGTTATAGACTTACGTTTTCTTTTTAAAAATAAAATAAAATAAATCATATTTATGTATACTATGTTGAAAGTTGCTATAAGAGTATTATGTTAAATTTTTTGTTTTGAATTTATAACTTATGTTATATTTTTAGTTTCATTTGTTTTAGTAATATTGAATTTACATTGCAAGTCATTTTTTAATTAGACTTGATAGATTATCTTTTTGTCGAACATTTAATAATTTATGACATTTTATTTATATATTAACCTTTTTATCAAACTTGCATTTCACGATATTCGTAGAAACTTCATACTTTTTAGTTTTTATAATCAATTCAATTGAAATATATTAATTTGAAAAAATATAAATCAATTTTTTTTCATAATATTAGTTAAGAACATATGTTTATTAATTAATATATTTTCAAAAAGAATATATATCTTAAATATTTAATTTAATATCATTTATAAAGTTTCTTATTT